TGGCGCGGCTGCTGCCGCCTGTGCCTGTGCTGCGGCGTCAGCGCGGCCTTCGAGGGCTGAGCGCCGGGGCCCGGCCTGCCCGCTGGGGCCTTGGCCGTGCCCGGAGCCGCTGTGCCCTGCAGCGGTGGGGCCTTTGCCCCAGAGCCGCTGTGCCCCGCAGCGGTGGGGCCTTTGCCGTGCCCAGAGCTGATGTGCCCCGCAGTGGTGGGGCCTTTGCCATTCCCCAGAGCCGCTGTGCCCTGCAGCGGTACGGTTGGGCTGGCGGCCTAGGAAGGGCTCGTGCCCGGATCCGCTGTGCCCTGCAGCGGTGGGGCCTTTGCCCCAGAGCCGCTGTGCCCTGCAGCGGTGGGGCCTTGGCCGTGCCCGGATCCGCTGTGCCCTGCAGCGGTGGGGCCTTTGCCCCAGAGCCGCTGTGCCCTGCAGTGGTGGGGCCTTGGCTGTGCCCAGAGCCGCTGTGCCCCGCAGTGGTGGGGCCTTGGCCGTGCCCAGAGCCGCTGTGCCCCGCAGCGGTGGGGCCTTTGCCCAGAGCCGCTGTGCCCTGCAGCGGTGGGGCCTTTGCCGTGCCCAGAGCCGCTGTGCCCTGCAGCGGTGGGGCCTTTGCCGTGCCCAGAGCTGATGTGCCCCGCAGTGGTGGGGCCTTTGCCATTCCCCAGAGCCGCTGTGCCCTGCAGCGGTACGGTTGGGCTGGCGGCCTAGGAAGGGCTCCAGCCTGGGCAGGGCTTTCCTGTCCATCCTGTCCGGATTTGGGGTGCAGCAGCGGGGGATCAGGATGCTACCCCCTCATATGCTCTGCTGACGATTCAGAAAGCTGGGCCAGCCACCACAGTTGTTCCCTGGCCCCTGAGCACAGCCTGGCTCGTGGTCCATTCCCCCGTGCATGTGGTCTGCAGCAGGGACAGTGGCACCGAGCCATCCCCAGGGGCCTGGCACAGCGATGCCGTGGGTGTGCCCAGCACCCTGAGAGCTCCAGGTCTGTTAAAGACACTTTGGTCCCGCTGGGCTGCACATCCTGCTCATGTTTGCTGGCAATCCTGCCCCCGGGCAAGCCCTGCCTGTGGCGAGGCGGGGGGAGGCAGAAGTGACCTGCCCTGCTGGGTTGCTGTGCTGGGAGTGTTTGCTCTGCTGGCCATCTGCATGAAAAATTTTGGCATTGGGATAGTGGAACAGATGAAATTGAGGATGACAGAGTTGTTAGGAAACCTCTGGTGTTGCTGCAGCTACATTGCTCCGGTATGGGAGGAGAGCTGAGCTCAAGAAGCTCCTGCTTGGCCTCGTGCTCTGTGGCTCATGCCAGGTTTGGCTTTTCCTGCCTGACCTTTTCCTCACACGCAGGCACACACAAACCCTGCTGCTGTTTTTCCAGTTGTGCCGTGCTGCCTGCGTGCCTTTCCCTGCTTTCCCTGCCTGACGCCACACCAGGGTGCAAGGACAAGAGCCCAGGCAGCTGGTCTGGGTTAACAGGGGCCAAACTGGAAGCACTGGGCTGCATAGGGTGATACTGAAACAGTTCTTGGCCAGGGCTTGGTGTTAAATGAGCAGCTCTTGCAGTTCTTCCTCAGGGCCCATTTTCTGCATTTGTTTCCCATGTGGTTTGTGAGCCCTTGCAACACCAGAAACCCCCTCAGGCCTCAGCAGGGGACCCCAGCCTGTTTCTCCCTGGGGCTGGCAGGGATCTTGTGTCTCCTGGGCAGTCCTGGTGCTTGGATATTCCCTGTGCTGGGGCCAGGGCTGCAGCCAGAGGATTCCATCAGCCATGGACAGCACCCACCCCTGCACAGAGCTCATGCACAGTTCTGCCACTTGGTGTCACCTGCCATAAACAGTCCCAGCTGAGACGTTCCCAAACTGGGGTGCCCCAGGGCAGACAGAGGTATGGCACGGTTCAGAAACTCCATGTGAGTCCTGCCTTGGACCTTTAATTACCTGGGAATGTGTGAGAAATTAAAGCCTTCAAGGAATGGATAAGAGCTATCACTGAGTCTAATGCACCTTCCCCTCTATCTCCCATTTCTCCCCAAAAACTCAACAGTGGGTGCTGGGAAGAGTGTAGGAAGGGCCCATCCCTCCCTGCAGAAGTGCCAGCAGCTCTGTGCCCAGCCCAGCACCTTCGGGTCCTGCAGTGCTGGGTGCCCAAACCCATGTCTGTCTGTCCCACACCCCATGTCCCCGGCTTCCTTGCCTCCCCCAGCACCAGAGCCACTCTGGGGGGCTTGGCTCTTGCTTTGTTCCACCGTGGATGTCCCCCTGCTCCCAGCCAGTCCTGAAGGAGGGGATCATCCCTTCCAGCGCTCTTGGAAGGCTTTTGGCACGCTGGCTGCACGCCCTGCCTTGGCACCTCGGGCACAGCAGGGCCAGTGCTGAGCGCTGTGCCCTGGGGGCTCCTCCCCTGGCACAGACCCCTGAGCTGTCCTGGCAGAGCAGCTGCTTGGAGCAGCCTGTCCTGCCCCGTTCCAAATGCAGCCCAGAACCTCAGGAGGGGCCATGGAGGGGAGCAGGGCACCGGTGGGCACTGCTCTGCCTGGGGCAGGGACCTGAGGCTCCTCCTGCCCAGGGAAGGGGCAGTGCCAGGGACCCCAGCACTGGCAGTGGGTGAAAGAGGGCAGTGGTGGCACTACTGGGGTACAGGACCCCCCGGTTCCCTGCCATGGCAGCGGGGTGCAGCTGGTGGATAGAGAGCAGGAGTGGGGCCAGGCAGGAGCGTGGGATGATGTCTGGCCATGTCCCTGGCAGGGACAGCTCTCCTGCACATGCCACCAGGGTGACAGCAAGGGGCTTCCAGAGGAACTGAGTTTTCAGGCTTTTCAGCCTCCTGGGCTCCTTGTGCACAAAAGCTGAAAATGACCTTGCTTTTAATAGTGGTTTGAGTTATTTTTGGCATGAATGCTGCACTTCTCACCTGATTCCAGATGGATGAGGGGAGTGGGCAATGAAGGTCCTGGGGAGGAAGAGCATTTTGGGACAGGACTCCCTCAAAATCCAGGTCTCCACATAGCCTGTGGCTGCGATGGGATGAGCTGTGGCTGCAGCTTCACATGGCAGTGGGTTTGTGCCCTTGCCCTGGGGCTGGGCTGGGCTGGAGGATTCCTCTGAATTATTTCCAGATGGGGATTAATGCAGCAAAGCGAGTTTGCTGCAGGATAGACAAACAAACCAAAGCTCCTCGGGATGCTATTAATAAACCCTCTGCCTGCTGCTTCTGTCCCAGATCTGGGAACATCCTGGCCTTGGCCTGGGGTGCAGCTGTGCCCTGCCCTGCTGCCCATCCAGCCCCTTGGCCGTGGGCAGAGGGACAGGGATTCCTCTGGGACCATGGCCACTGGGTCCCGATGGGTGTGAGTGGGGACAGTGTCCCTACTCTGGGTCCCCTCTGGCTGTAAGTGGGACGAGGTGCTGCCAGCCATGTCCCTTGGGGACCCAGTCCCCACTGAGCTCTGCCAGGGACAGTGGCACTGGGAGGTGACAGCAGCCCTGCCCTCAGCAGCCGGGCTTTGGGTGGCTTTGGAGTGGAGTGGGTGTAAACAGGGTGGAGGCAGACTTTGAGCCCTATGGAACTGGCACTGCCATGCCAGGGGGAGGACAAACCAGTTTTGGGTGGCTGCAGCCCAGCAAGGTCACCTTTGCCAAGCTTCTCATTGGGGGCTCCTGCGTCACCCTCCGTGTGCACACGGATGTGTTCCCCTTCTGGGAAGGAGGAAGGTGGCCCAGGGGATGCAATCCCAGCCCTCCTCGCTCTGGCATGGCTGGGGGTCTCCTGCAGGGCAGACAGGGCTTGGGCAAGGGCTGGGCTCAGCAGGGTGGGCCATGGTTCCCAGCACAACTGCCCACTGAGGGCACCTGGGCATGGTAGGACAGCACATAAGATGGGTTAAGACCTGAAAATGATACAATTTTGTCCCACTTATGTTTTTTCCTGGTAACTCAGTCAGTTATGGGCGTCCTGGGCCCATACACCCCTCTGCACCTGGCTGTTAAGGCAGCATGCCTGTGGGGGATGCCCCTGGGGAGGATGGAGGCTTAGAGATGGATCTGGATTTGCTGATTTCCAGCTCTCCAGCCAGCAGCACACACAAGCAGTTAATCCCAGGCCACGCAGAGCTGGCTGCTTACCTGGCTGGAGCGGTGCCTGGTGGAGGGAGGGACATGGGCACGGTTCCACACCTTGCAGGGCAAGCATCATTGCAAAAATATTTGCTGAAAAAAGTGCAGCTCCACCCCGAGGAAAACCGGGTCCGGGAGCAGAGCCCCGTCCAGGTTTGCAGCCGGCTGAGCAGGGGAATGAATGCGAGTGGCTGCAGGGAGCCGAGCACTGCCCGGCACCGCCAGCCAGCACCGCCGGGCTCAGCCGAGGGCACCGGGCAGGGCCGAGGGGCTGGGCAAGGCGTGGGGCTCTAGGGAACCTGTCCGTGGGGGCAGGGAGCCCTGTGTGCCCGGGGGGCAGCCATGGGCTGCTGCAGGCTCCCCGGGCCCGTGCTGGCCCTGCTGCTGCTCCTGTGCCCGCCGTGCCTGCCAGCCTGCCCGGCCGCCTGCCGCTGCTCCCCGGGAGAGGCGGACTGCAGCGAGCGGGGCCTCCGCCAGGTGCCCTGGAGCCTCTCGACCAACACCAGCGCCCTGTGGCTCGGCTACAACTTCATCACCGTGCTGGGACCGCGCTCCTTCCCTCCGCTGCCGGGGCTGCGGCTGCTCAGCCTGGCCCACAACCGCCTGGAGCTGATCCACAGCCGGGCGCTGCTGGGGCTCGGGGCGCTGCAGGAGCTGGACCTCAGCCACAACCACCTCAGCGTGCTCACCCCCGAGACCTTCCTGCCCCTCACCAGCCTGGCCACGCTCAACCTGGGCAGCAACAGGCTGGGGGAGCTGGCACCCGGGGTGCCGGGCGCCTTGCCCCAGCTCCGGGCGCTTCTGCTGCAGGACAACCCCTGGGTGTGCAGCTGCAGCATCCTGCCCCTCTGGCGCTGGCTCAGCCACAACAGGGAAAAAGTTCAAGGTGAGTGCCCAGAGGGCTGTGTCCCCAAGCCCCCCGCCCACTCCATGCTGGCTGGTCACCCTGCCAGGGCTGAGGCAGACCCAGCACCCTGACTGCCAGCTGGCTGAGGGCTTGGGTGGTCAGCACCCTTGGGGTGAGGTTCCCCAGAAGCTGTCCTTAGGTCAGGCCAGCTCCCGTGTGTGCTTGGGTGGATACACCCCTGGGTCTCTGTTGGTGCCCACTCTTTGGTTCTGGTCAGCAGCAGGGATTGCCTGGAAAGGAGGGCTGTGCAGCATCCCACTGACAGGCACCAGTGCTGGCCCCAGCAGTGCCACCAGTCCTGCCACATGGCACCTGGGGGGGCAAGTGGAGCCTGTGTGTCAGGGTGTATGCCACTGCTAGCTCAGCCAGGATGCAGTGCTTTCAGCCCCTTCCCCAAAGCCTTCATCCCCCTGCTTCTGATCCTGCATTTGTTCCTCCGTGAGCCCCAGTGAAAGACAGCTCTGCCAGCAAAGTCTCTCCCACCACTGCTGCCCCCTTCTTCTTGCTTCCAGCCTGGATGTGTGACTCCTCTTGTTCTGGCTGGGACCTTCTGTGGCATCTCCAGGCTGAGTGCTCACTGCTCCCTGTATCTGTCTTCTGGGAGCCAGTCCCTCCCCTTTGCATGCCCCGCCTGCCCTTCTGCCCCAAACCATTTTCCTATGCCCCTTCCAGCACTGTGCCCACCTCCCATCCCATCCCATGGATCCCATCCCATCCCATCCCATCCCATCCCATCCCATCCCATCCCATCCCACACAGATGACTCCTGAACCTCACTGTTCCCCTTCTTTGTGCCCTGACATGGGTGATGTTGGTGATGCTGGCCCCTGTCCTCCTGCCCTGGTGCCATCTGTCCCATGCAGACCTGCCATCCCCCTGTCCTTGTTCCCTGCCTTTCCCAGCTGCCCAGTGTGCCCTCCAGCACTGCTTCTCTCTTCCAGAGAAGAGTTTCCTCCTCTGCAGAGTCCCAGAGCAGCTGAACAAGTATCCAATCATGGCCTTTGGGGACGAGTCCTTCAGGCAGTGCCAGGAGACCTCACTGTCCCCCCAGCACTACATCGCCTTCTTCATCATCGGACCCTTCTCCTTCATGGCCAGCATCTTCTTCTGCACCTTCCTGGGCTCCCTGGTCGTGTTCTACCACAGCCTGCGCCGGGAGTCCCACTGCTGGAGGAGACCCCGCGTCTGCAGGGTGCACTGAGGGGCTCAGCCGGGCTCTGCCCTGGCCAGGCTGGCCTCCATCCACGCCCCTCTCCGGCTGCCTGCACCCACCTGTTGCAAACTCGTCCCTGTGGAGCAGCGAGAGGAAGTTCTGTTCCTGGAATCGCTCTGGGTTCTCTCAGGGTCCCCCAAGATGGTGCCAAGCTGCCTCTGCCAGGGGAGAGAAGCCTCCAGCTCAGCTCCCTGCAGGGCACGGGCTGACCCAAAATGCTCTCAGTGTTTTGGGGGGCTCCCCAAGGCCACCCTGAGATCTGCCTATCCCCCTCCTGGGGGCATCCAGGTGATCCTTCTCCCCTTGTCCTGCCCCCTGTGCTGCCCAGTCCCTCAGGGTGTGTTTAGGATGCCCCATATGCCTCACTGTGCCTTTAGGTGCAGCCGGGGAGTACCTGTGTGCATCCCAGGACACACCACATTCCTCTTGGTGCCTTTCAGGCCCTCCCAGGAGTCACCATTTGCCTTTTGGTGCAGCCCAGGAGCCTCTGTGTGCCTTTCAGTTTTCTCCTTGGGCCTTTCGATGCCCCCTGCACTCTCTGACTGCCTTCAGTGACCCCAGCAGCCTCAGTGCTTTTTTCTGTGCCCTCAGGACTCCTTGAGTTGGTGTTTCCTGCACCTAAATGCCATGTTTGGCTCCTGTGTCCTGGCAGGCACTGTTTTCCTTTTAGGGTACCTCAGAGCTCTCTGGGTGCCTTTTGGCACACCTGAAGATCTCTGGGTGGTTTGGAGCATTCCAGAGCCTCCGTGGGACTGTCAGACCATCCCAGGCCTGTCAGTGTGCTGCCCAAGGACAGGGCTGGTTGCAAAAAGCTCCTTTTGATAGTTTTTTTCCATTGAGTCAGGAATGCTGGTGCTGAGATGGCTCAGCCAACAACCAAGGTCTAGGGTGAGGCTGAAGTTGAGGGTGAGGGCCAGGAAGAGCCTTGAGCTGCCACTGATGTGGTTTGGCAGAGCAGCTGCCAAAGGATGGGTGAGGCTACAGTGGTTTCTCCCTCAGTAGCTTTTCCCTAGGCTACAGCTCATCCCCAGCCAAGGTATGGGGTTAGCTCAATGCTGGGAGTGGGGACAAACAAGCCCTTTACAGGAGCCCTTTACAGCAGTCCTGGCTGCTGCCTCACCTCCCATCACCCACAAATCGGGGCTGGTGCTGCCCCTGCACCTCCCTGCCCTGTTCCCTCCTTCTTTTTCCTGTGGAAATGCTGCTGGAAATGCTTAGTGAGCGTGCTGGGAGATGGCCTGGAAGGATCTAGAGCTGAGCTCCAGGAGAAAGCCACAAGCTGGGGTGACAAAAACACCTTTCAAGGAGAAACAAGAGCCCTTTTTGGCCTGACCTCTTAGCCACTGCAAGATGATCAGAGCCACAATGAGATGCTGTGACCACCAGCCTTGTTCACTTCATCTCCTTCCCACGCAAGAGCTGGGACCTGCCAGGGCTGTGGCAGGAGTCAGTGCATCCTTCAGCAGGCTCTTGGCAAGGGTTCCGTGAATCACACATAAATAAACCAGCTGTCACCTCAGGGGTGGCCTGCTCCCGTTTTCATTTGTAAGAGAAGCCAGCCCCATGTGCTGCCACATGGCCAGATCCCTGCTCCTCCTCCGCTGTGGGGCAGGCGTTGGCAGGAGCTGCATCTGCTCCAGTGCTGCCAGCCCTGCGCCTGGGAGGGCTGCAGAACCTCTGCCAGGATCATCATCCTGCCTGTCCCAGGAGCAATCCCAGCTCTCCCAGACCCTCTCTAGAGAGGGTTCAGTTATTCCCAAGAAGGCCTGGGCTTCCCATTTGGAGGTAGGACCTTGTTTGTCATGCTGCACAGCCACCTGAACCCTGCTCCTTCCCTCAGACCATGCTGAGGCTCAGCCCCCACGGAGGCTGGGCTGGACGTCTCAGCACAAGGGGAAGATGTTGTGCATAGGTGATGTTCCTTCAGTTCAGCCTTGGGGGACCTTCTTATTTTGAAGATCCCCTGATGGACCTCCCTATGGATGGGCTGATGTGTGGGGACTTCCCCAATGCCCTCATCCCTGCAGTCCATCCCCTGTTCCCAAAGCTGGCTCCACTGGCCAGGCCCCACACTGGCTCCCAGGAGATGGAGCCCAGCAGTGGCAGGGGACAGTTTTCCCCAGGATGGAGGTGGGACAGGGCCAGCTGCCATGGTGCTGGTGTTTGTACAGCTCCGTGCTGTCCTCATCCCCTCACTGCAGGGCCTGTGCACCACTCTGGCTCTCTGTCACCTGAGTATCCCAGGATGGGGATGCCCTTTCAGTCTCCTCTATAGCCCTCCTGCTTCCTCCATCTCTTCCTGTCCCTCCACTGTTTGCAGACCCTGCCACAGGGCTGGGTGGGGCTCTGATTCACCCCAGGGCTCCCTGCCAGCTTTGCCAGAAGTCAGAGACAGAAAGAGGCACACAGCTCTGGAATAAACCACTTCATGATCCAGTCTAGACTTTACTGAGCTCTTGCAAAAACTTGGTATTCATGTAACATTGACGTATAAAGTACAATGGGTCCGATTTCTCAGCTGGAGCTAGATGAACTTGATGGAGCCACAGCAGTCGGTGGGACGATGCTCACAGACCTCAGCTGCCATGTGAAGTCCTGCTGCCCGCGGGGCAGGCAGTCCGTGCCGCTGGGGCCGGGCTCCACCTTGCAGCGGGTGTTCCGTGCGGGCAGGAGCCGCTGCTCACCCCCGGGGCCGCTGCCTCCGCCCGCTGCCCTCGGGGAGGGTGCTCGGGGCAGCCCGGGGAGGACGGTGCGGGCAGGGACGGCGTCAGCCCGGCCCGTTCGGCTCCTTCTCCCGAAGCTCGCTCTGCTTGCCGCGTCTCCGGGTGCAGGCAGATGGAGCGCCGTGAGCTGGGCCTTCAGGGCTGCCGCGGGAGCTGCTGCCAAGCTTGGGCTGCAGGTGAGGGTGGCACGGGAGCCGCCAGCGCTGGCCGCGGTGCCCCGGCCGTGCAGACGGGCTGGGTGGCAGCCAGCAGCATCTCTCCTTGCATTGCTGGTGCTGAGGCAGTGTGGAGCTGGGGTAGAGGTCAGTGCAACCATCCAGAGCCATTTCCCGTGGAGAATTCCTGGCCAGGAGAGCTGCTGTGTGAGTGCTACATGCTGGCCGTGGCCAGGTCCTGGGGATGTCTTCTGTGCAGGAGAGGTGGGAGCCGGGGTCTTGCCTGGCGGCGCACCGCGGGCTCCGGAGTACCGCGATTAGCTCGGGGGCGAGGGCTGCAGGGCGGGAGCTCTCCTGCTGCTGCCAGACCACGGACACGAACCGAGTCACAGGAGTCACAGTCACGGGACGATGGGAAGGAAGGGAAGAGGGTCCACCCCCTGCAAGGAGCAGAGCACACACCTTCCAGCCCCTGCGGCAGACGTGAGGGTCACTCGGCACAGCAGGAACATGTGCCAAGCCCGCAGCACCGGGAGCTGGCTGCTCCAGCTGCTCAGGACCGTGGAGCCCTCCAGGTGGTGGGAGATGTGGAGCACACCTCTGAGGGGCTGTGTGTGCTCAGAAGGCTGCAGCCTCTGAGGTTAAGCACGTGTTTGTGGTTTGGCACCAGCTCTTCCCTGCTACCGTGGGAGAGCAGGCACCGTGTGCCTTCTGCAGTCCTTTCCCCTTGCACGGAGCCAGTCAGTGGCAATTCTGATTATTGTGGCACTGTTTGGAAGCGATTATCTCTGTACAGTGAAGTCCAAACCTTGTCCTGGTCCTGCCATGCTTCCTGGGGCACGAGCATGGCAGCAGGCCTAGGAAGGGAGGGAGATATACAATGGAGTCACTGTGTATGGATGAAGGATGCTTTCCTCCCATCTCACCCGGAAGAACCCATCAGTGTCCCTTGAAAGGCAGTCCTGGCTGTGCCTTCCTACTGTGTTGGGCAAGGACTGATGGCCCTCGGGGAGAAGGTCACACCACAGTGCTGACTGAGGGGTCGGAGAGGTTGAGCTGGCCGGTGATGTCGGTGGGGTGATACTGCTGCAACACACAAATAGACAGACAAAGAGAAAGGAGTGTTAGGCAGTTCTGGCACTTGTCCCCGCTGCCACTTCTATCCCATGCATCCCTACACGATATCTCTTGGGGGTGAAGCAACACCCTGAAAGCTGCTGCTGGCTGGGGTCCCCTTCCCAGTGCCATCCACGCTTGTGCAGAGGTCATTGCAGACTCTCTCCATGCACCCTGGAGCTGGGCAGACGGGACACCCAGGAGCGTGGTGCAGCTTCTGCAGAGCGTGGCTGCCACGTCACCCGCTGAGCCAGGCCCTCTCTGCTCTGGGAGGGCTACAAAACAAAGCCTGTGACTCATCAGCCCAGCCCACGCCTGTACCTGTGTTTGGAGGGTCTGGCTGGGTTTTGGCACCTCTCTGGTGCCAGATCAAGCTGTGCTTTGAGGCCAGGGCATTTCACCTCCTTGCTTGAATGACCCTGCCGTGACTATCCTTTCATGCAGGTGAGATGTGTGGTGTGGTTGACTTGTGATAAAGTGTGGCGTTGATTGCTAATGTGAAAATATGTCCTGTGCTGGGGATGTGGTCTGGATTTGGGGTTCTGAGCTCCTTGCAGATGGGGGGGCTTGGCATGGGAGAGCCCTCCCCTGCTTCAGTCCCATCAGCAAGTGGGGGGAAGAGCAGAAATACCCATCAATGGGCAAGAAGAAACGTCCTTCCTCCCCAGGCAGGAATTTATAGCAGGGCAGTTATTTCCTCCCTTCCTCCTTCCAAACTCCCTTCCTCTTCCACCTCCGCTCTCCAAACTCCAAACACTGACCTGGAAGCTCTGTCCAGCCCTGCTGTGGGCTGGAGCATCCTGTGCTGCTCTCTGGGGTCCTAATCTGGTGCCAGAGCAGGAAAGGGTCTCTGTGGGTCTCATGTGCTGCAGCACAGACCCTCTCCAGTGACATTTTCCCAGCCCTTGCACCACCCTGCCCAGGAGGGCCGATGTTTTGAGGGGCTCCGGGGGGGCTCCTCGGTGATGGATTTCACCTGCCCTGCTTTGGTCGATGGTGGCCGTGGCCTTCGCGGCGCTGCCGGCAGCTCTGGCACTGTGGCTACCCTGTGTGCTGCACACCCTGCCTCCTGCCACCCCCCGAGCCTTGCATGGGGTCCTTGGGGCTGCCCTGCCCAGCCTGGATTTGTGATCCCGGGACCCCTCAGTGGGAGCAGCTGGGGCAGGGCCGGGAGCCAGCGCGCTCTGTCTCTCCGGTGCCGTGCTGGGACACGCTGACACCCAGGGAGCTTCTCAGGGGATCACCTGCCACCTCTCAGGGGACCACCCTGCCCCTTAGGGCACTGGCTAAGATTCCAATGGAGCCTCTGGGAATTGCTGGCCATGGCCTTGCCTTGCTAAGGGGCAACAGCTCGGCCATCGCCCATCGGCACAGAGGGAGCGGCCGGGGCCATCCTGATGTTACTCTGCTGCCCTGGGGGGAGCTTTTTGTGGCTATTCAGCAGCCCACCAAAAAACACCCCTCTCTCCCAAAATTGGGTGCAGCCACCCCCTCCTCATGAAAAATTTGGATTCCAGGTAAACGCAGTGCTTCCATGGCAGAGCTGCCGGGAGGTGTGTGCTTGTGGGATGGGGCCTGACTCCAGCAGGGAGGAGGTGACTGGGAAAGGGGAGAGGCTGTGACTCACTGGTGGAGGAGGAGGAGGAACTGGAGATACAAAAATGAATGGGTAGAAGAAAGGTCCTTTGTTAAACATCCTGCCTGATGTGAGCGGGGTGGAAGAAGCGAAGTGTGCCTGTGTGAGTGTGTGTGCCTCAGTGCACGTGTGCATGTGGCTGCTGTGGTGGTGTAGCAGGGCAGGCTGGGGCCTTCTGGCCTCTCTGCACAGCTCTGGGGGTGGGAAATGCTAAAACAACCAAGCAAAATGGGCAATCTGGCCAGAAAAATTAAAATACAAGAGCATGGCTTTTGATTTGAAAGCATATCTCCTCCAATCACAGAGTTATCACAGGGTAACATTCTCATTTACTTTTTTTTTGTGTGTAAAGTTCATGCATGCAATTTTTAATAATAAAAAATAAAATTAAAATAAAAAAAAGAAAAGAAAAAAAGCAAGAAAACGGTCATATCAAAACTATGTTAAAGTAGGCTAATGCTAGAAGCACATATTTAAGGTAAATTATGTTACAGGGATGGTGCAATAATCCCCAAACAAAACATTATAAAGCCAAGAAATTAATCAATATTAACCGTAGAAGAGACTCAAACATGTTAAGGTATGGAAGTGAAGTGAAGGCACCAAAAACTTTAAATGACAACCAGGAAGAAAATATAGACAAGAACTTAATGTCTTTAAAAATGACTTCAACCTAACTGGGCTCATATGGTAGTCCCTGGCTGGTGGAAGATTTTCTGGAAGAATTTTAGTTTGTTGTTGTGTTTGTATTTTTTCCATTAAAAATTAGGATTCCAGCTAAATGCGATCTTGCTGTAGAAAATATCAAGTTCCCTTTAGGAAAAAAAAAAAAAAAAGTTGTCTTTGACCTACTTTTGGTTCTTTTGGGCCAAAAACTAGGCTCTTTCTCAGCCAAGAAGCGTTTGGCTTTGGGACAGCTGATCCTTCACTGAAAAGGTGACC